TAAGAACCTAAGAGCATTAGTATAGTATATGATGAGTTAAGAAGAATAGTGAGAGAGGAAAAGAAGAGGGAGAAGAAGGAAAGAGACAAGTATGCACAGCAGGAGGATCACTGAAAATAAATAGAAACGATTCAATCTCATAATATATTGTTACCAGAAATGAATCAGAAATTCTGATAACTGAAATCTGTGACACGATGAGCATTAATAAGATTGGCGATGTTGTGAGAGAAACTTCTTTTATAAATTTCTTTCCTATGTCTAGGCACAGTAATAAGACTAGAGTGACGAATATTCAAGTTATGAATATCACTTCTGAAAGAGACAGGTATTCCGGCTTTTTTGTTTTTAGCACTTTGTAGTAGCTGCAAACCATGTGCAATTTACGTCTGTTAAGCATGTTCAGCCAATTAACAACTTTTAATTTATGAGAAATCCTATTTCGTCTGGTGATACCAAAAATGAGTCTTAAGCAGGAATTCTGAACTTTTTGAATGCGTTTTATATCAACAACATCTGAGCAAGGTCCGTAGACAGTATCGCAGTAATTGAGCTGGGATAACACCAATGACTCACAAAGCATTTTTTGATATCTTGTTCAAGAGAGTGCCTAAGAGGGTGAATCATTTTCAAATTAGAATAGCATTTCTTCAACATAAATGCTTGACATGTTCTTTGAATCGAAGTTTATAATCCAATATAAATTTTCAATATAATATAATAATATTACATTTATTCGTCGACCTCAAACACTTATACCCACATCACGGTCTTATTCACATTTGACATCTATCGGATTTCGTGAATAATTGATTTGACAACAGCAAATGACAGTTGTTGTTCTTTGAACATCATAGGGATTTCCTTTCGTGCGCTCCAAGCGATAAAAAAACTCACTCTCCGCGCGGACCAGGGTTGCCAGTTCGATTTTTATTCTCATCAGTAAATACCTTCACTGTTTTACCACTAACCAAACTGATTCAAACTTCTCCTGAAGTTGCTAACATAGTTAGCAAAACTCGCGTCGAGATGTAAAAAATCGGTTTGGTTAGTGGTAAAACAGTGTGTACTGTGTAGTGTATTATCGTGCCAAGGTTCCAGTCTCCGATATGCAGGGTGTCCCAGAAGAACGTACATTAAATTCAACAGGGTGAACTAGAGTTCAAAATAGGTCGATTGGGACCAACTTACCTCTATACGAAAATGCACCGTTGGGCCGTGAGAGGGCGATGAATGGAATTTTTTTTTCAGATTTTATTGAATATTTCAAAATCCTTGTCAACCATGAGAAGTGTGCATAGATAACAGGTCTCATCAGTTCAATCGATATACAGGAAGATTCAAATTTAGCATTCTTATTGGAGAAAATCCGTAGAACTTTTTTTGAGTACGCCACTGACCATATTTCAATATCCACTTGAATAACAAAATCAATTACCTATATTTTTCTCACCACATTTCTTTCTAAATTTTGCTTGGTTTACAAGATATCTGAAAAAATTCTTTCGGAGTCCCTCCATATCATCCCTAGTCCAAGATATCAGAGTTATTGTGTTCTGCAGGTTTCTTCCTCCTTCATGTTGATATATTGGTCACGTATTCATGTTTAATAACCTTTTCATCATACAGGATGGCCCATTTTCAACTTGACAGGGAATTTCTGGGTGATAATAGCGTAGATACGAAAAAATGCTCAGATCGGTCGATTTTAGTTTGCACCTCCTGCCAACAATCAAAGTCGTTTGCAGGTTTTTTCGTTCTGTTGAGAGTGCGGGGGCACAGATATCATATTATATTAACTACTTTTCCTGCTCAATCATTGCTTAGTAAGAAACCCATCAAGCGGTTCGTACAAAAAATGTACCAAAACGAAGAATATCAATTGTCTAGTTTCATTATTATTATTATTATTTTCATCCCATATGTCACTGTCAGCCTAATCATTGTAGTTGATTGTCCAATTCTCAGTGTGAACTGTGAAATATATCAACTAATAATGGCTGATCAAGACCAACCAACATTATTCTAACAGCAATACAGTGGAAGAGCTGAGAGCAAGAATTTTTACAGCAGCTGATTAGTTTCGCAATATTCCAGGAATATTTCAGAAAATACGATTCCACTGCATGAAAAGAGCTCGTTCATGTTTGGAGAATGATGGGAGACATTTCCAGCATTTGCTCGATTGATACCACCATTATTCTCGTTTTCTTTTTTTGTTTTCTTGACTGTTGCAATAGTTATCGATTATTTATTCATTATTCAATAAAAACATATTTCTGTTTGATAATTGATGATTATTGATTATCAACTTTCCGAATATTCTTCCTACTTGTTTGATATTTATGGAGGAGCAACTATTTTGGATACCTTCTGTATTGAATCTGTGTAGTGATTTTGATTGGAAGAAGGATGAATAGAAAATTATTATTATTCCTATTATTATTTATTATTATTAGTATTATTATTCTTTGTCTCTGAGATCCAGTTTATTTTTCAATTATTGATTTGATGAACTCTTCTGATGAAGAGCTTGCTAAAATGAATATGATATCTGTGCCCCCGAGCCCTCAACAGAATGAAAAAAACGTGTAAACGACTTTGATTGTTAGCAGGAGGTGTAAACTAAAATCGACCGATCTGAGCATTTTTTCCTATCTACGCTATTATCACCCAAAATCTTCCTGTCAAGTTGGAAATAGGCCATCCTGTATGATGGAAAGGTTATTAAATAACTAACATGAATACGTGACCAAAATATCAACATGAAGGAGGAAGAAACCTGCAGAACACGATAACTCTAATATCTTGGACTATGGATGATATGGAGGGACTCCCAAAGAATTTCTTCAGATATCTCGTAAACCAAGCAAAATTCAGAAAGAAATGTGGTGAGAAAACAGATAGATAATTGATTTTATTATTCAAGTAGATATTGAAATATGGTCAGTGGCGTACTCAAAAAAAGTTCTATGAATTATCTCCAATCAGAATGCTGAATATGTATCTTCCTGTATATCGATTGCACTGATGAGACCTGCTATCTATGCACACTTCTTATAGTTGATTGACTTTCAAATTTCAGATCATTACCTCTCAAGGATTTTGAAATATTCAATAAAATCTGAAAAAAAAATCCATTCATCGCCCTCTCACGGCCCAACGGTGCATTTTCGTATAAAGATAAGTTGGTCCCAATCGACCCATTTTGAACTCTAGTTCACCCTGTTGAATTTAATGTACGTTGTTCTGGGACACCCTGTAGTGAATATCTTGTCAAAAATTCAATAGAGTTCAATAGATCTATTCAGTATCTATTATATGCTATACGAATTCAAAGAGAGGGTAAAAAAATAAATTTATGACTTCAAAATATGATGTACTTTTAGTAAACAGAAAAGTAATCCAACAAAATAGAAACAAAAAAAATAAACATTATCATACAAAAAAATAATATTCCTGATTCTCAATTCAAAAACACTGACAAATATCACAAAATACAGTTGTAAAGGAACTTATGAGATTTGAGCATAAATATAAAACAAGAACAAAGAGTGAAAAATGAAAAATAAAAATACAAAACAAATAAAAAAATTAAACTTAAGAAAGAAACTATTATAACAGAGGTATATAAAAAATCGAATTTGATCTGAATGAGATAAAGTATTGTACTTTTTTGGAAAATGAGAGAAATGAGAGCACTAAGAGATCAACAAAAGAGCAATGTCAGCAAGAGTACCAGGAGAGAAGAAAGAGATTCCTTAGCTGACTTCCTTATTTATACTCCACATCAGCCTCGATGTAAGGGTAGCTCAATCCTAGATTCTGATTGGTCGGAATACTCAACTATGCCTGCAGAAACTGGCGTCCAAAGCATATATTCTTTAACCCACAAAAATGCGAAAAAATATATTTAACCCTAAATGGGTACAGGAACAGAATCTACCACCCTTGCTTAGGCTACTGAATAAATTTGACTGAAAAATATCCAATAACATAAAAGTTATGACTAGGTAAACATCCAGAATTTCAACTGATAAATAATTCATCCAAATTTCATATCATAGGTTTAGAAAATTTCAAGTCTTTAGGGTTGTAAAGATGTTTATTTGAGTTTACTATCAGAGAAAACTTTTAAAAATCAGGAATTAAGAATTACTCAGATCTATCAGGTTTTCAGGTTTCGAGATGTCCAACAAGTGAAATTCATGTCAAATATGTTCTATCTACTTAGATATCATTCAAAACCAGTCTAGTAATGATGCAGGCGCAAAAACACTTTGTCACACATACATCATTTTATGCATTTTCATTGTGAATACCATGGCTGCAGTGAGGAATACCATTGATGGAACTGACTAAGGAAGTTCACATGCTTTGTGAAACGAAGCTTAGAATCGAGCCACAGGCCTAGATTTTCATTTTCGGAAACTACAGGTAGTATATCATCGTTAATTCGAATGTCCAACAAATAATGAGTTTCATTTCTAATTTTTTTCGGTCCAAATAACATTACTGCGGATTTTTTCGAGTTGAGTTTCAACTTATGTGCCGAAGAAATATCGAATAACGCTTGGAGAAAATCGCATATGTAGAGACTAGAACGTAACGGTCCAAGGATTGAGCCCTGTGGGACGCTCTTGCAGAGAGGTAAATCTTCTGAGAATATACCATCGATTAGGACCCTCTGTGACCTGTTCGAAAGATAATTCCTCACGAGTGTTACTGCGTCCACAGAGAAGCCGTAGAAACTGAAGTTTATTGCATAAAATTTCATGATCGAGAGTGTCGAAGGCTTTACTGTAGTCTAGTAAAGCCAAGCACGTCAGACTACCTTCATCAGCTGCTCTGAAGAGATCATCAGTTATGGACAAGAGAGCAGTTGTTGTGCTGTGTTGAATATTACATTTATGTTCAAGTTATGTTTTCATGTTTAGTGGGTAGAGTTTACGAATCTATTAAATTGATATACTGTACTGTACAAATTTTACGATTATCTTTCACAATACCTGTTCCGCAACGTAATGGAATCCCCCCACCTCGACCACCGTCGCCTCGTCAGAGTAGGAGCCGCCCGCGGCGGCCGTCCGTCGGTCGAAAGGCGACGCGTCGTAGAGCGCCTTGCCCTGCATCGCGCGCCGCCACTCGCCGTCCGGCTGGTGGTGGACGGCGAGCAGGTCTGCCGAATCTGGCTCGCTGCTCGACACGCAGTGGACCATCGCCTGGAAGGTAGTGAACCCACATAACGTTATCAGTATTTACAAAGATGGAGAAACTCAAAGTCATTACCACAATAGTTCATTGAATAAACCAAAATGGTAGATAACAAGAGAAAAACAGGTATTTTCCTGGCCATAAAAATAATAATAGTGTCAAAGTTGAGTTCTTATTATTGTTTTTTGTCAATAAATTTCAAAATGATTGTGATATTCGAATAAAGTTTGGTATCTTGGGGTATTTTTCAATGACAATATCAAATTTTATGTTAGTTTGTCTCTTCAGTGGGGGTGACGCCACCTACTTATCTCTTGAGTCTTTTGTAAAGTCATAACTTTTTTTGTGCGTACCTGTATCACGTTTTATAGAAGAAAAACAGATTTCTAGAACATCTTTGTGTAAAAAATATATTCTTGGTAGAGGTGGCTGCGAGCAACTGTTTTCGAGTTATTCGGATTTCAAAGAATCAATGGAATCAATGGAATTTGGAATGACAAGAAGTTGGAATTCAAAATTGATTTACTAAGTAAGGGAAATTATTTTTCTTTAATTTCATTTCAAAATAGGAATCGCGTGTTATTACAATTTAATACTAGTAATAATAACAGTAATTAAGACAAAATTAATACTATAACAGTTAGTTGAGGGAATTGATTAAAGTAATTGTTCAAAATGGCCACCTTGCCTCATTATGCATACGTCTGCTTTTGTATAACGTCACATCCAGCATAGATCCGTTGACGAAGTTGATCTTTGCTTTCTCTTGGCACCGTATAAACTAAGGCCTTCAAGAGACCCCACAAAAAAATAATTCAAATGTATCTTCTGTCTTTTGTGACCTTAGTAAAGCCTTCGACTGTGTATCTCACAGAATATTTGTTGAAAAGTTGCCTAGTTATGGTTTCGGCATCAACAGCATAATGCTTTTAGAAAATTACCTCAAGAATCGTAAACAATCTGTCTTATTTAATGAAAATATATATCACAACAATTAGTAATCGAAAATGGAGTACCACAAGGCTCTATTTTAGGGCCTGTGCTATTCCTCATATATATAAACGACTTTCCAATGGCGATGCATAACTTGAGATGTACTCTCTACGCGGATGATACCACTATCTCTACAAGTGGAGCCGAACTAGACAATCTTCTGATACAATGTGGAGATATACAGTCGAAGGCTGCCGCATGGTTTGCAACAAACAAACTAGCTCTGAATCAGACGAAGACAGTAACGATGATATCATCAACGGAAGATCTGACCCACCAATCTGATTTTGTGAAGTTCTTGGGAATATACATAGATTCAAAACAACTGTGGGATGTCCAGGGGAATAACCTAGCAACATCATTAACCAGAACTATATATGCTCTGAGACAACTTACATTCAAAACGTCCAAACAAATTTCTACTAACAGCATATTTTGCGCTATTCCACTCGAGAATGCTATACGGAATACTCGCTTGGGGACATGCGACAATTTGGCATAGAATCTACCAGCTCCAAAAAAGAGCTGTTAGAATTGTGGGAGGAGTGGGCTATCGTGAAGATGTTAAGAATATATTCATTCAGCAAAAAATACTCACCTCGTGTCTATATTTTGGAATGTTTAACATTTGTAAAAAATAACCCTGATAGATGAACTTTGCATAAAAAAAATCATGATTACAATACTAGATATAGAAATCACATTTATCCAAATTTATTACGCCTGAACAGATCAAAGACTGGAACCTCTTACTATGGTTTGTTGACCTACAATAACTTGAACGAAGATATTAAAGACTTGAGTATGCCTCGTTTCAGATCTGTAATAAAATCGTTTTTGCTGAAAAATGCTTTTCAAAATATTCAAGATATTATTGATTCCATTAGAAATTTGAAAATCTGATACTAGTTCTGTATAGTGTACTATTTGTTATGTACTTTTATCTTTTTACAATATTTTGTGCCGTGTTTTATACTATTGCAAAATGTTTTTTTTGACGATGTAAGATTTCTTGTAAATTTTTAAACAGAATATATACTACTACTACTACTACTACTACTACTACTATCGATTATTTCAAATCCCAATAACTCGAACACTGTTGCTCGCAGCGTCCTCTGCCAGGAATATATTTTTCACACAAAAGTGTTCTAGAAATCTATTTTTCTACTATAAAACGTGATACAGGTATGCACAAAAAGTTATAACTATTTAGAAGACTCAAAAGACATGTAGGTGGCGCCACTTCCACGAAAGAGACAAACTAACATTACATTTGATATTCCCATTGGAAAATAGCCCTAGATACCAAAATTTATTCGGATATCACATTTATTTTGTAATTTATTACCAAGAAACAAAAATAAGAATTAAACTTTGACACTCTGTATCTCAGAAACGAATAACTTTCGGACATATATTTATATAAGGATATAAGGATAATATAGTTCTAGCACTTGGCCAAGGTAATACATTTTAATCCGAAAATCTTAATTATTGCTCAGATGAATAGTATTCAAAAAGAACTCGTTCAAGTTTATGTAGTGATGAGCAAGTGAAATCGTGGGATAAGTTATTGAGACGGTTAGCAATACAGTAAGAAAACGATCGATGTCTTAAATTAAGAGAATGTACATCAGTTCTGAATGTTATGTTATGATACAGATAAGGTGGAGAGTGTTCCTTTACTAGCTTATGCGATTCTCGACGATTTTTCATATGTAACCATTTAGTAATTCTGAATGTATGACTGATATGTTCGAATTTGTGAATACCAAAAATTAGTCTCAGTCATGAGTTTTGTAATTTTTGTATTCTATTTACATCTAATGAATTCAAACCGGAATTATAAATAATTTCACAGAAGTTTAATTTAGATAATACAAGTGACTCACACAGTAGGATTTTAACTGATCTATCCAAAACATGACGAGATTGAAATATGAGTTTTAGAGCTCCATAGGCTTTTTGTAAGCAGTTACTAATATGGTGCTAGAATATCCAGTTCTCATCAAACCAAACTCCGAATTTTTTTTACTTTCTCACAAACTTGTATAGAATTACCATCCATTATAATATTTGATGAGTATTCTTGCTCAAACTCTTGCGATTCAGCTTCACTTCCAAAAATGATTGCATTAGTCTTAGATGCATAGCTATACGACGCAGCATTGAATTACATCCTACCGAAAACTATACAACGGTTCATATAAACGAATACAGTTGCATGTGTTTCTTTCCTAAGTTTGATCATAAGCTACAAGAGTGTCACAGCTTATTGCCTTTTAATGCTAAGCAATACGCCATCTGACGGAAAAAACTCGCATCAATATCATGTGACCAGCAAGTGTGAATTGTTTGTTTACACACTGCATTGTGCATTTGTGTGATGATAATAGTTGTTTAATAAGTGATTATTGATTTGATAAGAGTGAAAATGACCAGCAGAGCAAATTGTTGTGCACCTGGATGCAACTCTGTGTATAAAAAAACCCAATTTGACAATTCATCATTTCCCAAATAAGGATCAGAGAGTTGAGGATATTGGAGAATCTGGAATGGCGACTTTCGTTGATGGGAAGAAACTGTGGGAGATCTAATTGAAAATAGGAAGGAGAGTTACCAAAAACATGAGAGTTTGTTCCAAACATTTTGTTGAGGAAGATTTCATGACTCCTAGTGATTGTTCGTCATAGGTTATAGCGAATGCAATCAGCAATCAAGGATGTTTGACTGTATCAGCAATCACACTTGGCGTCAAAATTCTTAGTTTTTTGACAGAATGACAGCGCACGAGAATGAAGGTTTAAAGGTCAATATTAAAATTCCTTATCAAAACTATCAGGCTCTAATGAAATCATTAAAACAATGAAACAACCTCCTTAAAACATGAAGGGCCCACTTTTACAAGAGCTGTCACAGCTTCTCTTAAAGCTTTTCATGAAATTAGGAAGCCTCTATTGTATGATGCCTCAAAGCAATTTCAACATGATTCCTTAGATCATTTAAACTTCAAGGTGACTGTCCTTACATCAACGATAAAACACATTAGCTAGAAATCTAGCATTTCTGATGATAATTTAGTCCGCTACGTGTTATATGAGTGTATATTTTCAGGACAAATAATGATACAAACTTGTAAACATGAATTGAGAAACAAAATAGAAAACATGGCGGTATATTATGTTGATGATTTTTCTACTAGATATATTGAATTGCGTTTTTTGTAAAGACTAAAAGTAAACAAATGAAGTTTGTTTTTACTAAAAATAATTGTGTGTGAGATTGAATATCTTTTTGAAAAGGTCGACAAAACTTGCCAAAGGTTAGCACAATATGGGTGTCGTTGGAAAATGTGAAGAATCATCATTCCCGATCGAAATATCACTAGATCCATTTTATTCTCTGCCTGAAAATTTCATTTCCTTTAAGATATTTGGTTCCTGTCCACAAAGAGGAGGGACATCCACCTTTTGACTGGTTCCAGCCAGCAGTGCAGTCGAGCTGTCTACGGGGAGTACTCACATCTATACCTTTTCAACTTCAATTTCGGAATCGGTAAGTTATATTTCGGAAAAAGCAATCTCGATTTCAGAATTGGTTAGTACGATTTCAGAAATGGTAAACTCTATTTCAGAATCTGTGAGATAAATTTCAGAAAAAGTCCATTCAATTTCAGAAATGGTAAGTTGTATTTCAGAATTGGTAGGTTCAATTTCAGAAAATAAATCCTTATATTTCTTTGAAATGTTTCCAATTGCATGTGTGATTAACAAACCATATTACAATATTCAACTGTTCAAAAACAATTCAATAACATAATTATAATCTCCATTTAATCCACAGATGTCTTCCATCCGAATCGCAGAAGATTAGTAGCACATGATTATAAGAATGCAAACACATTTTAGGTGTTATCATTTTCATTGAATGATCTGCACAATCTTCAAGACATCGCAGTCTGAATTCTATCTGGTTGAGCAATCTGTTCGGATCCCCAGCTATGACCCTTTGGCGATGCTCTTGCAAAAAGCTCTTCACTCCTGACTTGAAGGCACTCCATATATGTTCAATCGGATTCAACATAGGGCTGTAAGGTGCCAGTCTGCAAAATATAACATCTTGAAATTCTTCCTCCATGCATATCTCTTCAATTCTTGAATGTGCAGGTGCATTATCCAGAACTACCACTATGGTATCTGCAGGATATCCATTTCAAACGCACACTCTCAAACACCATTCCATCCACTGTAAACAATCTTCTCTTTTGCAATTGAAAACATTTCAAACATATATGAGGATTCATCTTCTGAAATTGAACCTAACAATTGTGAAATACAACTTACCATTTCTGAAATTGAATGGACTATTTCTGAAATTCATCTCACCGATTCTGAAATTAAGTTTACCATTTCTGAAATCGAACTAACCAAATCTGAAATCGAGTTTACTTTTTCCGAAATATAACTCACTGATTCCAAAATTGAAGTTGAAAAGGTATAGAGGTTCCCACTATCTCCGAGCTACCCACCATCTGCTTGAGAAGGCCTGATTACGAGAAGCCTACCACCTTCATTCCCCATAGTGTAGCAGAGGTTACAGCACAGGATCATCAATAGCAGGCCAGACTGTTTTCATATGAACTCTTCATAACATCAATGTTTCATATCCCTTTGGTTTGAAGAATTCATGACATCTCACTAACACTCAAACCACAACTTAAAGTACTATAATGCGGCGGAATCCCTGATAAAATCAACAACTTTGCATATATTGTCAGTATTGAAGTACCTATTTCCATCTCAATATTTTGATTTTACATTTATGAGATACCTACATTGATCTGAACCTGTAATTAATTTGATTTCCATATTTAATATTTACACCCTGCGCCATAATGGAGAAATAAACCTGTTTGTTTTTAGTTGAATTTTATTTTTCATTAGTCTTGGTACGCTGCTCTCGTCGTCACTTTCAGCATAATTTTTTTGTCTATTTTAGCTGGTCAACACCCTGTAGAGTATCATTTGGTTGCACAACTACCCAAGTAATTAAGAATTCTTTTTCTGTTTGAAAGTGACTGTGGCGTCCCTTCTAGAGTTTTATTCCAGTAATTTGAATATTATGTAACTTTTTTTGGACTGAAAAATCCAACCACAGTCACACCTAGTGCATACCGACGAAGAGCTGCCGTTTGCTTGTGACAACTATCTTTTCTAAATATCTTCGATTAGGAATTTCAAAGACTTCCACAAAGCTCTTCTAATACTGAGTGGATCTGAATGCCAAACAGTAATAATTCTATGCACTAGCTTAATCATAGTATCTCAAAATCTTTTGATAAGATTAAATAGCCCAGAAGATCAATCAGTCATTTCAGAAGCGTTCATAAAACGTATAGAGTGACTAGACTTTTTATTTCCTCTAACATAACCTATCTGAAGTCTCATTGGTGCTTTCAGGTATTCAAAATGTTACTTGGGTAGGATACAATGGTCATGTTCCTATATTGCTGACATAACTGGTCACAAAAAGCAATTTAGGAACACTAAACAGTAGCAGTAGCTTTGAATTTTCATTTCATTTCGGAACGATTTTGGCAGTACTAGTAAACTGGCAGCAAAACATAACCATAACCTATGATCTTTCGATTTTCAATGTCTTATTTTGTTGGTTTTTATTTTCACCATCCTTATTATCTTCTTTACTCACGTTGAAATAATGGATGGAGTGAATAATCATTTTATTTTATAGAAGACATATTATCCGATAGAGATTCTGATCCATAAGGAACACCGAGCTCAAGTACCTCTAGTTACAGTTATGAAGAAATTAGGCATAGTTGTGAAATATCTGATACCAAGAATTACTGTCTGATCATTCATGTCATTCCTTCTAGAAAATTAATTATACTTTATATATTATTTGTATGAAATGTATCAATGAAGAAGAGAATGTAATGCAATAACTGAAATAAATAAATAAAAAAAAAATATGTCAGCGATAACATTTACTGAGCAGTTATAAATCAAAAAACAAACTCCACTCACCATAGTGCACGACTGCGGCCGCGACTGCCCGCCCGCCTCGCTGCCCCCGCCTCCAGAGCACACCGAAGGGGCGGGCGACGCCGCGTCATCCGTGCTGCCGCCCGCGTGCGTCGTCGTATCGGCCGTGGTGGGCGGGCTCCGACCACCCGAGCCACGCCCCCCGCCGCTAGAACTCCGCCCACCTGTCGGCAGCGGGCTTAAGGTGGTCGTGTCGCAGGAGGCGGGGGCGTGACGGAAGGGATTGGAGGTGAGGGAGGGCGGCGGCTGGTTGATGGCCGTTTGCGTGGAGACGGAGGACTGGCCGTGGTGGGTGGGAAAGGAGGGGCGGGAATGCTGCTGATGCTGCTGTTGTTGTTGTACCATCACCTGAAGGGAGAATTTATTTTATTGTTGTGTCTTTCAGTACAATTCGAGGGGTTTTGTCAAGAGTACAGCTTCATAGTGAAATTTACAGCCTGAAATTCACTAGTAACTTACCTCTACTGACACAACACAATTCCTACTATGAAAAAAAATCCAGAGTCGGACTTGAAAAAAATCTTTTTCTTTTTAAATTTATAAAAAGAAAATGAGTTCCGAGTCCGGCTCTGGAATTTCTCTTCCATAGTAGGCGTTCGTGTGGTGTGTGAATAGAGGAATATTGTTAGTGTATTTCAGGCGAAAACATCGAGACGAGACGAAACTATGCCCTGTATTTCCGTTATGAATAGACAGAATATATATTTTCATATACACAGGGTGTCCGTAAAAAATAAAAACAATATTTTTCTCAGGTAACTGAAAGGAAGTAACACATGCCATGTGGATGAAACATCATTCGACGTATTTTTTGATCGTAAAATCTGAAGTATAGCACGTTAATTATGGGACACCCTTATATCTGAATCCCTTGTCAAAGCTAAAGATAAAATCCCCACTTGAGTTCACAATATTTCTAGTTCGGGACCTAACTGCATGCTGAATATATCGGTCAAAGTGGTAGAAAAATTATTACTACAGTAACTGAGCCTATAAAACCGATTGACAAGAACAACACAAATAAATGAATACAATACCAATGAATATTTTGCAAATATTCACTTTTCATCATTTCACTACAGACAGAAAATTGAAAAAACATACTATATTTGAGAACTATCGCATGTCTCATTGATTGAGAAATTTTCTGAATATGCATTTACTGTTCATGTTATTGAACAATTTTTAACACATGAAAACAATTGAGTAGCTGATAATCTGGAGTACAAGATATTGAGTAATTAACACAAATGTGTGGCAACACTCGTATTGTCACGCCATAATATCAACACAGCTGGATTATTTCATGAACAAATTCCATAAAATATTTATAGCTAATTATTATAAAGGAATGAAATATTGATCATCACTATAATCCTAATATTATATCACATACCTAGGGTGAGAAGTGAGCTATATAATATCATTCTGCATTCTCAACCGAGGTATATATAATATTTTTTCCACTACCAACCTGAGAAATTACTATTATTCAAGGATTTCCTCCAACGAGAAGTAACACTTCTTAACCTAGGTAAATAATGATAAATTTATAACCTAGGTAGATAAAACTGTCAATAGTGTCAATGATATGCAAAATACCTAGACATATATAGATACCTAGACATATAGATACCGATGCGTATGCAACCCATGAAAATTGTGACATGTTTTGAACTAAATTAAGTTCAAACTATAAGAATCTCATTACAGCTGAAAGCAATTTTTAAAGTTATGGAAAATGTTCGGAATACGATGATTATTATCAATTCTGAAAATGTCACAACATAAATCATACGTGAGCTGTCACTGTCATGTGTGAATTAAACCAAGAATTTGAATAACCATGACTTCTGGTATGGACAAATTTTTGACCAATCAAAACGATTTGAGCTATGGCGATCACTGCGATATTCATAAGGTTTAGATATTTCAGAACATTTTGATGAATACTATGTTCTTAATATCTACTTGCGATATTCCATCAGTATACTTCCTAACTTCATGCAGCGTACAAGCTCAATCCCTTAATTCAAAATTACTGTCAATTGAATTCTCACTCGTTTTTTGTATTCATTAACAAGTTCAGTTAGAATTTTAAACAGCGTTCATTATTGACAGTCAAGTAGAATTTCCTTTCAGTTTGTTTGACAACTGAACTTCTAGGCTATTCTTGACACTGGTGACAGATGTGTCGAATCATCCTTGAAAGTCCAGTTCAACTTCATAATAAGATTCAAAACGCATTTTGAAAATTTTCCGAACTTAAATTCAATGTTCATATCGAGAATCTGACGAAGCAATTGAAAAGTGGGCACAACAGAGGAATTATGAACATCTCAATCAACATATTAAAAATGATTGAAGTTATATTTATTTATTGAGTGTCCAACTAATTTCAAAATCATAATACTGAAAAGCTTCAAGACATTATACGACTTCGCTATTGAAATAATCTCTTCTTATGTTGAAAACGGGAGCAGAACCGGTCCCGAAACGTCCAAAGATAAGTGAAAATTTGATATTTTTTCTATATACCTTTATTTCCCTTCTCCAAAAATTTTTTCAATACAAATTGTCACTGACAAGCTAGTGAATTTTTCTTTTAGGCTCTCTGATAGGAAAATTCTTTAAACGCAGTGACATTTTGGGGCAAATCATCTGATTTGTCCTTACTACACGTATATTGAAATAATATTCATATTTTTATTTTATAGAAACGAGGAGAGAAAATCCCAAAAAATTTGGAATAATGATCATAATACTAGAGTTTAAAATCAAAGAAATAAATCAACGCATATTTGGAGCAGTGATTGTGGTGATCATTGGAGAAAGTTCTCTGATATCCAGAGTATTTATTGCATCTGGGAATGAATATATGAAACCTGCCTCACTTGAAAAAATCATGATCTTGTGAACGTTATGATGGAAATGTAGAAGACATTTCCATCATAACATTCACAAGATCATGAAAAAATGTATTTTTTTGTCAATTTAATTTCATTTTTTGACAACTGTCAACAGTCATTCCCGTTCATTCCTTGTAGTGAGACGAAATGGAAATTATCAACCGGAATAGGAAAGGTTGCAAATAAAACGACACATTAAAATAATTCCGGTGGCGGAATCGGATAAATAAAACACAACTAGTGACAGCTCACGCATGATTTGTGTTGTGACATTTTCAGAATCAGATTATTCCCAACATTTTTTATAATTCAAAAAGTTGCTTTTAGCTGTAATGAGATTTGTAGTTTCAACTATATTTGGTTTTAAGAATGCATAATTTTTTATTGATTGCATAGGCATTGGTATCTATGTGTTTATTGCATAATATCATTGATATTATGGATAGTATTTTTCTACCTAGGTGATATTTCTTTATCAATCCATCATCAATTACTTAGGTTTAAAAAGTATTACTTCTCATTAGAGAAAATAGTCGAATAGTGGTAATTTCTCAGGTTAGTAGTAGAACAACAACATTATCATAAAACCCTTCTCACCTGCATCTGTTTGTTGTCATTGGAACTAATGATATAGTTCTGCTGATCCAAATTCACAGCCGCCGGCCCTGCCAAACCCTGCTGGCTCTCCTGCCCGTCCTGCTGGAAACCCCCTACCTATAATAATAATAATAATATTTTTATTTTCATCCGACAATTGAAAATTATGTTATTAGATTCGTCATTACAGATGAAACAGATATAAAAATAAGATAAGTAAAATAAAACGCTGACAAATAACTTGAAACTCAACAATTACATCAGAAATACATTAAGAAATTATATGTTACACATTTGTATATATTCCCCTATAGAATAGACACATTTTTTCCTACGACCATCTATGAAAGTATGATATTGCATACTTTGTTGTTGCTAAGAAAGTATCTCATATCACCATAGCAATTTGAAAGTAAAAAAGAACAGTGTGGAAATATTCCCGGACGCTCACGTGGTCTTTGATTGCTCTACATGATACTGAATACATTGATTCAAAATATATTCATTTTTGTTAGTCTCACACTACATTCTTCTTGCTTAAGACTTACAAAAATTTAAGTTAATATCATTAAAGTTGATTTCATGTTAAGTAAATGTTCGGTTGAAGTTGAGTTGATGTTGAGTTGTTCCTGAGTTTATGTTGAGTTATTGATAATGCAAATTCAATTTGATGTTGAGTTATTGTTAAGTTGATGTCAAGTTGATGTTAAGTTAATGTTAAGTTACTGTTAAGTTACTGTTAAGTTACTGTTAGGTTAATGTTAAGTTAATGTTGAGTTAATGTTGAGTTAATGTTAAGTTAATGTTGGATCGGGAATATAGATCATTCAGGTATTTTTGCGATATATGCATTGTCCAAATTTGAAATATTCCGAAATTTTGTTACTTATGATTTAAATAATATGTACCTATGTGAAACAAACAAACATGCCAAAAGCAACGTCTGCCTTTGAAAGAACTTCTACAATACAAACAATGGAGATTTGAATTGCAAGAATAAGGACAATTTTTCAAAATTTGGACCACTTTCATTGTCGTTATTTCCACAATCCAAATCTCTATTTAACTTGAAGGAGGCAAACTGTACATAATGATACAAACAATATTTCTCTACGCGGGTTTCGGAAGGGAATTCAGCAAATAAATTCAAGATATATTCGATTGTGGCGATGTTTGACAGGTCATTACACGAATAATGGAAGTGAAGTTTTAAAAATTAATTCATAGTCTGCAAAAAATCTGTGAAAGTAGCATTTTGGATCAATTTGTCAAAACCCACGCTGTTTTAAATTCAAACTTGGTGAGCCTGTAAATGTTCCTATTGTAAAAAAATTTGTAAATGGTCAATGTAGAAATTTGATTATACCGTAGCAACGCAATATTTTCACAATACAAATGAATGAACCAACTATGACGTATTACAACGAAATAGTAGTAGAAATAAGGACATTATCCATAACTTGACAACGCCGCAGCCGATTTTGAAATTTTTCCTGCGATAAAAAGGCGAAAGATGTCGGAATAAATTCATGAAAGAAAATACAGGGTGTTCCGTTTGAAAAATTCTAATGAATATCATCTGAATCTTGCAAAATTGAGCACCCTGTTAGAGAACATGTCGCAAAATTACTGGATTGGTATAAAAGAGACCTTGCTACTACCGTATGCCAGAAATATTTTCAAAATTTGAATAACTGAATGTACCATGTGCAATTCAACATGACTCTTCAATAGTGATAAAAATATATTTATCAATTATAACTTGACAACGCCGTAGCCGATTTCAATGTTTTTTACAGTGATGTGAAGGTAGATCTTGATGGAATAAATTCCGAATAAACAATACTGGGTGTTCCATTTGAAAAAACTCGTATCCGAGTCATCCCGCTGTTATAAAACACCCAGTAATGTTGAAAATATTTTTGAAACAAGCAACTTTAGTAATTGAAAAAGTTTTTCCTTCAAAGTTCTTTTTTATAGGTTATGGCTTCGGAGATATCGAAGAATTACGCACTAAATGGACACACTGTACTGCCGTGCTAAGCGCAGAAGCGGTAACTGACATTTCCAAGGAAATTGAGATATGAGCTCCACATAAATGTATGACTCGAAATCTGTCTAAAACTAGAGTTTCATAGCGATAAATACCTTTTTTCTATTTTTATTTTGAATTTTAAATAGCGGTACCTACCAACTTTCAAAATATTGTTGAAAATTTCCTGCGGTGGTAATTGTCATTTGCTTGGGCATTTGCACGGGTAATTACTGCACATACCGCTCAAATATATTAGCGTTTGTCAAATACGCCCTATATACTTAAGTTTTGATGCATTTTACGCGCAAACGGCTCAGTAACATCAAGGGTGTTGAAGGATGAACATCGCTGAAGTGTTTGTCGCATTTCATCAATAACTGTGTTGGTAGTTATATTGATTGAAAAAGTCATTGTTTTGTAATAAGTGAAGAAGGGTAATCATAGACTGAAATTCATTTTCTTTGTGATTAAACTATATTATTTCATAGAATAATGGCTTCCGATCGAACCAAAATAATTTCAGAACGTGCAAACTTGTGTATGAAGAATCCATAGAGCACTATTATTCCAATCAAGACAATGAAAATAATAGATAAGAGATATTGGAGTTGATATTGATGACATCCCTATAATTTTATATGAATCAACCAAGGTTCAGAATCCAATTTCAGTATTAGTTTCAGAGTCTACTATTACTGATGTAAAAACTTCACAACGATGAGATTTCCACGAAAGTCACACGACGTTCTGCGTGCTTCATCAGGTGAAATACTAGTACATTCTACATTAAAATACGGTGTAATGGATTAACTGAAAAGGGTTGATAGCAAATACATGTTATTCCCTACTAAGAAAACAAATTCAACAGTGGTGAACTATCGGGGTCTAGTTGATCGTTAAGTAAAATGTTAGAATTTTCAAGTTTGTTGATTTCTAATGATTCAAAATGATTGAATTTTATTCCTTTATTATAAATACTCTCAAAATTTCTTTTGATATTATCAACAAACACCTCAAATCGAACTTCATATTGGTAAGGAATTCTCAAATCCATGAACATCATACTATACAATATGACTTGTTTCATCTTGATACTGCTCATTCTACACTTGGTCAAAAAAAGTTCACTCACGGAGCTATCTCAAAATTCAATAAATTACCTGATGATATCAAAAGTTGCACAAATATCACCCAATTCAAAATCAAAATCAAGAAACATATTCTCTTGCAAAGAGAGAATCAAACCTGAGTGAATGATTTCTCATTGACTGATTTATTTTATCATGTCATAATGTACTTTTCATGAGCTTTTTGTTTTATTATTATACTATATATATTTTTTTTATTCTGTTGTTCACTTCAATAACTATAATTTAATTTGATAACGCATGAACACCAGATATGAATCTGTCTGATTATTCATGTTATTCCATTGTAATGTTTATAGCAAAGAACGAAATAAATAAATATTTGACTAAAAAAATGAAGGAATACCTTACTATTCATTCCCTAGGAGATTCATTTGAGAAAAATTGTAAATACGTCGAAATACCTTAGTAATAAAGCTGGAAAAAAGCCGTATCTACATTCCAGAATGGTTTCGTGGGGAATTTTTGACATTCAACAAATCACAATAATAACATAATGTCAATATTTGACAGTTACCAAAATTCAAACTCATATTTTGAAAAATGAGGCTGGCAGGACGAATACTCTGAAATATCAATTATCTCATAATGCCATCGGTGTCAGTTGCCACATCTGCGCTTAGCACGGCAGTGTATATGAACAAGAATTCAATTACCTGCTGATTGTTCGCCACCATCGTCGTCTGCTGCTGCACGATCGTCGTATTCTGCTGCACGAACGTCGCGTTCTGCCTGCCCGCAGACCCGCCCGCCACACTAACACTCGGCGCGCACGGCACCATCAGCGTCTGGCCCAGCTGCACGTACTCCTGGCCCGCGTCGCCAGGCCGCATGCGCGCTGCCGGCGCGCCGAACGCCACCTGTTGATTCAGCGGGCTGAGCTGCCCGCCGAACTGGCCGCCGTTCACGACGAACTGCCCGCCGCCGCCCGGCGACAGGAACTGCGCGCCCGGGCTGTGCTGCTTGCCCTGCGAAGCGGGCGAGCGGATTACCATGCCGGCGGCGAACATGCCGTTGTTCTGCACTGGGGTGAGCACGTTCTGGCCGTTGACGTTCTGGATTTGCAGCTGCACGCCCAAGTTCGAGGTGTCCTGCAATCGGGAATGGGGAAATTTCAGTTTTAGCTATGAAATGAAATCTCACTTAAAATTTCCATGAAAGATATGAAATTCATTCAAATTTCATAAAGGACACCGCACGTTTTATAGGGAAAATTCGCCTCCTGTCGAATTGGCTGAATTTTTGATATGTTATAGTTTAAGACATAGTGAACAAAATGTCCAAATACCAAACCGTTCTAATGGCTAGTTTTAACGCTAGAGGCCGCAGAAGTCCCAATCTTGATTTTCTTCCCCTGATGAATAATGCTTTTTGAGCCATTATTATACAGTCTGTCCAAGATAAGGTTGAACAGCATGGGGATCTCGAAAACTGTAGGAGATACGAAGTCGGTTAAATGGGGAAAAAGTTGCGCATTTGGAGGCTCATTTCAAGAGCCTTCGAAAATTTCCAAAATTATTTTTAGTTTTTTAGTTATATCGAAAAAAGTGAATTTCTGGAATATCTATTTCATTTTTTTTTCTCCGTTATTATTAGAGATACAGAAAAACTAAAAATACTTTTCCATAGCAACTTTTGATGACGTTTGACGTGGTTATAATACCGATTTTTCTATGCGACGTTTCGTATCCGTAGAACCATCATCAACTTTTGTTTTTTAAATACGGTCCTGATAATTTTTTCACAGATTCTGAAAGCTTTTTTCGTTTTGAATTCAACCATGTATTAGACAAGGTGATTCGAATGTGTTTCGACCTATTTCTATCCATCATCAATGTTTTTTCGAACTTCCAAAGGAAAAGTGCCATCAGTTCCATTCATTTCTGATCATTCAGTGTCAAACATTGATGGATTGGTTATTCAATACTGAAAAGTGAATAAAAAATATTTCACTACATCATTCAATGCAGTACTTGAAATTATTGATGAATTCTTACACGAATTACTTTAACAACTTAACTTTGACAATACCTACAGAAACATTTTTAACAAATGTTCAAAATGATAACCATTATTTTCTGAACAAAGATATCCTCTTCTCACAGTTGCTTCTAAGACATCACTAAGCATTTCTGGGGTAATTCTATTGAATGCTTCGATAACACTGTCCTTTAGTTCTTCCTCATCATCAAAGCTATTTGCGTGTACAAAGTTTTTGATATATCCCCTAAAATAAATCCAGCTGTGTCAAATCAGGTGACCGCGCCGGCCAAGGGACTGCAGAATGAGTACCAATCAATTTTTCTGGATAAAAACGCACAAACTTCTCTGGAATTATGTACCGGAGCGCCATCTTGTTGAAACCAATAGTTCTGAACTTCCGCAATCGGTTAATCATCCAGAGCTTCCTGAAGATGATTCTCAAGCAAATTTCTATAACGGAAGTCTGTGTTTCATGGTAAATAAAAGGACCAATAATTCGTGTACCAAATATCGCAACCCACATATTAAACGGTGTTGGTGTCTCGCTGTAATGTATAAATGTTCATTTTCTCGTGAACAATAATGTTTTTTTTTTGTATCGAAGATACCATGGTGGCCATGCTTTCATCAGTCCAGATGATTGTTTGCGGGAAATTTGCAAAATTTCGACATTTCCTGGCATACCACTCACAGAATGTCCTGCTCTTGACATATTTTGAATATGTATGGATGGAATTTCTGTTTCCGCAAAATGAAATAGGTTGTTGATAGAAACCAGTTGATGAGGTATTAGTGTGTTGACTAATTTTCCTTCAAAATAAGTGGAACTGATGACATTTTTCCTTTGGAATTTCGAAAAAACATTGATGATGGTTAAAAATAGGTCGAAACACACATAAACCACCTTTCAGAATCTGTGAAAACATTATCAGGACCGTATTCAAAAAACAAAAGTTGATGATGGTTCTAGGAATACGAAACGTCGCATAGAAAAATTGGTATCACCACGTTAAACGTCATTAAAAGTTGCTATAAAAAAGTATTTTCAGTTTTTCTGTATCTCTAATAATAACGGAGAAAAAAAAAATAGATATTCCAAAAATTCACTTTTTTCGATATAACTAAAAAACTAAAAATAATTTTAAAAATTTTCGAAAGCTCTTGATATGAGCCTCCGAATGCGCAACTTTTTCCCCATTTAACCGACTTCGTATCTCCTACCGTTTTCGAGATCCCCATGCTGTTCAACCTTATTTTGGACAGACTGTATTTTATTTTGATAGGATAAGTCACTACTAGAAGTATTCATCAATATTATTGCTACTGGTCAACAATTATACAATGTGTTCCAGCTATTATTGCTCCAGACAATCATGATATTCATCAATTTTATAGGAAAGGTTATAGAGAAATGAGAAATCGAGAAAAGTCCTATTTCAATTACAAAATACGTTCATTCGAATTCCATGTTCACCCTTTGTATAACGAGAAGATATACAATAGATATCAACCCGTTTCATATAACAACAGCTGAATAATATTCGAATCAAAAAAATATTTTAATATTCAATATTAATGTGAAGATGTTTATTCTAGTATTAATCTCCTATTTGTCAAGGTTTGGGAAGGAATGTTATCCGTTTTCCTGTTAAAACAGTTCGTATATATAGCATCAATAAATCAGCACAAGTAACAAAGTTTACAAACTATTCAATTTCTGCGTTCCTGCCTCATCAACTTCGGATGATCAATTGATGATTTTTGAAAGAATAGTACGATTTTCGAGGGCGTGATATCTGAAATATATTGACATGCATTTGAAAAAATATACTAGTTATAATCAGAATTTTTTGACGAAGTTACAAGGAATATTCATCTAAAGATGCAAACTATTACTGGTAATATCGGCTATTGTTATAGAACGAGTTAATAACGTTGTATATCTCCTCTTTATATTCTAGGTGAACATTAAATAATAATAATAATAATAACAATAATATTAGTAATAATAATATTGATAATAAAAAATGTATTTATTGGAAAAACTGTTTCATAATTGGAAGGCCGGCGTACCTCAGTGCTTCGATGCTTCAAAATCGATTCACGTCGAGGTATCGATCGTGGGTTCGAGACCCACGAACGCAGACTTTTTCTGATGGCCTAAGAAAGTGTTTGGGATCACACGTTAAAAGGTAAGGCCCCCGTCATTCCTTGCTCGCACAAGTCTTTCGAAGACTTCTGAGGGTTGCTCGTAAGGGGGCAACCGAATGACGGATAGATCAATTTTAGAACAATTTTAGAACAATTTTAGAATGCGACACGTGACAATATCCTTTTTTATTGAATTATTGAATAGTATCATATTTTATCTCCCCCATAATTGCTGGAACACACTGTATAAAATTCTTGACCAACAGCAAAAATATTGAAGAAAACTTCTTGTAGTGACTTATCCTATCAGAAAATAATATAATAATAGCTCAAATTGAAAAACTTATGAGAAGAAAAAAACAACATTGATACTCCAGGCCAATTTTCCCTATAAAACGTGCGGTGCTCCAAGAGTTTGCCGAAATTTGTGAATTTCATTGATATTTTCAAGAAATAATGGTAACAGTCTCGTTTATTATTTCAAGAAATGGACTAGGCGGTCGATTTCATATGACTTTCGCTACATGTTAAAAGTTATATTTTTTCAAATCATCGCTGGAAATAAGCTTATTGGTTTGAATTTCAAGAAAATTTACTGGGAAAAGTTGTTCCTGTTTCAATATTATACATAAGCCCAAATTTGAACGTTCTTCAATAATATCCATTTTTCGATATTTTTTCTGTGATATTTAAATGAATTAACACCGACAAAACTATTCCATTCTGCTAACTTTATCATGCTACTAACTTTCATTCACTGATTATCAACAGAAATATAATGTTCTTCAAGAAATAATAATCTCCGCTTCAAATTTATTTTACGCATTTTTGAGTCTTCCTAGGTCAAAATGGTGAACCAGTCTATAGGCGACTGAGCTTAATATCGCAGCGCCAGAACGGCGAAACTGGTACTACTCTATGGGCCATTCCTGGGTTGTTTATATTTGTTTACAGGCGGTAATATGCTACATTTTCAACGTGTTGAATATTTTCAAACAAATTTATTCAATAACTTCTCAAATGGAACACATGTAAACTTTCAATGCGAATATCTCGCGAAATAAAAAAGTTAGAAAAACGCCGCTTGGCAAAAATGCTAAAGAGTTAAGGGGAACTAGAACCACCATATTTCAGTGAAGGGATGAGTCACCCTGTCAGCGCAACACACCCCAACTTTGAAATGTCAAATGGCATTGGAAGTTTTCAAATTTACACCCTGTATATCACATATATATGTATATACACTGTTGATGGCTTTTGTTGTGCTGTAGTTCCGAAAAATGAGCCAATAACACCGTCTCCCAGAAAGAACTGCAAGTCCTTTTATCATCCATTCGACTTCGCGGTTACGTATATCACTAAACAACCACTAAATTCACAATTTTTTGAAATCAAATCACAGAATTAGACTGACAGAAGCGACATCAAATATTTGATTACGTCAAAGAAACGATAAAGATGCCTACAACGCAGGTGTCCCTAATGTTAAAAACTTTGAATTTCACGTCGATAATTTTCAGATTTGAAAATAATGTAATATCTTCTCAATATTGATTCGTCCTTTCTTCTGTCACAAAAAAATAGTGTATTATACACGGGAAAATTAGTAGATTTTAGCTCACAACCTGGAGCTACAATCTACTAATTTTTTTTCCTTTCTATAATAAATAACTATTTTTTCCACGGAATGAAAGCAAAATATCAAATCAATTCTATTGGCAATAATATTCGCTAGGGTGCCCCCGGGACGCCACTGGATTTCACAATTCCAATTGAATTATGGGTAAATCAGCCCCTCATGAAAAAGAAAAACATTGCCGAATTCCAAGAGAATCGGTGGAAGGATATTTGAGATATTCATAAAAAAATATTTTTTTTTCTAAACTTTAACACACTGTATCTTGGAAATTATGCATTTCCGGACCCACGTGTATATAAAATATATTTTATATTTTCTTATGCAGAATCACCCCCTTGATTTTCAAAAATTTCACTTTCACAGCTCAGTGGAATATTTCGATTTTGAAGCTTCCGAATTGGAAATTTTCATTTGGAAATTTCAGTCGTCCCAACCCTACCTGCAAGATGGTCGCCGAGCCGTCTGCGTTCATCACCATGCCGCCCAAATTGGGCACGATGAACTGTTGAATAGCGGGGAAGTTTTGCACCATGCCGGCAGGACCGTTGATCAGGTTGACAGGTTGAAGCAGGTTGATTTGTTGCGTGGGTGAGTTGGCGATGATCTGCGGCGGGCCCAAGTTGGGTTGACCGTTCATGACGATCTGCGGGGGGCCGCCATGTTTGCTCGGCACGATAGTCAGCGCTTGCATCACCGGACCTGATACACAATAATAGGGACAACAATTAAATAGAGTGACGAGAACTCCAAATGACTGCCGTTTCCGGAATGTCATTCATGGTCAAGTCCTAACTGCCGTCGATTGTCAAGAGATATCTGAAATAATTAATACAGTTTGCTCCAAAAACTCGAGGAGTGGAAAAGATGAAGTACCATGTCGAATATTGAATGAAATAGTCGAGGTGGTAACATTCCTTGTCAACATATCTTTTGAATCAGGTATATTTCCGCAGCAACTCAAATCTGCTCTAGTTATCCCAGTCCATAAAAATGGTTGTCAGTCAAATATGTCTAATTACAGGCAAATTACCTATCATTATCGGCAGAATTATTCGAAAAAGCCTTTCAAGTGAGGTTTTTGAAATAACCAAATAAATACAAGTTATTAACGAATAGACGATTTGGCTTCACAAAAAATCTATCCACACAAGAAGCATTGATATCGTTATATGAACCGCTCTTAAACAATTTTGACAATAAATTGAAAACTTCGACTATGTTTTTGTCTTCCAAAAGGCATTTGATGTTGTCAATCACTCACTACTATTGAATAAATTTGAAATGTATGGAATAAGAGGACCTGCATTAACCTGGGTCAGTTCATACCTCTCAGAAAGAATCCAACTGGTCTGTGTAAAGAAAAATGGGACTACAACAGTGTCGAAGCCATTGAATGTACCTATGAAGACCTTGCTAATAGGTCAACCAACTGTATCAGTAACATGAAAAAGTGGTGTGATACTAACGGATTGATATTGAATCTATCTAAAACAAACTTTGTATTATTCACACCTATAACAACGAAATCTGATATTTGCTTATTGGTGAGGACTGGTTATGAAAATAATGTATTCATCAAACAAAGCAATTCTTTTGAATTTTTGGGTTCATATGTGGATGAAAATCTTTCTTGGGAGACCCACACACGAAATTTGGTGAAATCATTGTCATCAAAAAACTTTGCAATTTTTCAACTAAGAAAAGTATCAAATACCGAAGCAATAATGTCATACTACTATAGCTGTGTACATTCTCAACTAATGTATGGCATACTGTGCTAAGGTAATAGCTCTGGTTCTGAAGAGTTATTTATCAGTCGAAAACGGATAATGAGAAGTATAATTGGTATGAGACCAAGGGACTCATGTCGTCAGATATTCATTTCTCAAAAAAATCAAACCATTTTGCAATATTTACATTTTGACCACTCTTTGCTTCACTCACGGTAATCTTAAAAACTTCAATTCCTGAGGTGATATTAATCATTATACAACAAAAAAAGCAAATGAACTATTCATTCCTCCAGCTTCACTCGCACAGATTAGAAAAGGTCCAGTCATAACAGCTCTCAAAATATATAATCATTTGCCTGACTCACTTAAAGTTCTAAAGAATCCTTTATTCAAAAGACAGTGCAAATTATTCCTCAACAATAAAAGCTACTACTCTCTCACAGAATACTTCAATGGTTCATTTTACTTTGTATCATCTGTCCTAGAGTACTTCTGTTTTATGCATAATTATTTGTGAACAGTTCTATGTTTGTTTGTTTTTTTTCTCTCCCAGATCTTGGGCTAGTGTCTAGTTATAATATTATTACTGTTTTCATCCTAAATTGACAATTTCTATACTTGTTGTGCAAGTCTTATGAAAAATAAATATTTACTCACCTACTTAACCTACTTACTTCTTTACTTACTTAGCTAAATATATAAAGGGTATTTCCCATGTAGTATTGAATCTGCGCCCTGGAAGTGCCCATCTGATGTTAGGTTTAGATATTTGATATTTTCATTACATCATCAAAATAATCTGAGACTTCCAAAAGACGGATTCTAATAGTTAATATCCAAGGTACTGACGTATAGAGTTTCATGTCTGATTGTTATATGGTTTGTGTCCAAAGAGCAAAAACAGAGACAAAGCATTGACAAACTAAAATAGAATGCGTAGAACTGAATGGAGAAAACACGACAGGTGGGTGCACCTCCATATTAAAGGTGTGATCAATCAAAAAGTGTACCACTTGTGTCATCCCTCTATTTATAAAGTCACTCTCGACGTCACAACATGGCACACTCGTCGTTTTTATCAGCTGGTCGGGGGACAAACACAGCTGAGTTTGATTTTTTTTATCCTTTCTGACCTATTGGTGATTCTGTTGAACTTAGATATTATACCAGAAAATGTGTATACGTTATCGCAAACTGAGTATCTATTGAGATCACACATTGAGGTATATTACGAGGCATATTATAGGTATACTGAGATGAACTTAAAGTGAATCCAGTAATTTGAAATTGACAAATAAACCAATTTGAACTCTTTATTGGACTCATCAACTTTTCTAGTAGATAAACATAATAAATATGCGTACATCGAGCCATGGCGGCACAACCGATGCCATTCTAATATTTTGCCGCTGCTGACACATATCCGCTGGTGACGGCTATGGCCCAGGTATTTACCACCTATTCATATTTGAGGGTATGCTGTTATTTATCCATTTGTTGTACTTCTTGTAGATTGTACTGAAATGAAGAGCACTGTGCTAATAAAGTTCGATAAACATACCTTGCGGGCTGTGCGCCATCTGTATCTGCTGCGGGAACCCTTGCTGCGCCATAACAACCCCGGGACTCTGCTGCGCCGCCACATGCAACATATTCGCCACTGTCTGTCCCGCCCCTTTCCTTTTTTTCGACTTCTTCCTCGTCTCCGGCGACAACATAGCTCTGAAAGATAGATATACACCCATATAGCACTCGACGTTCTGGGGACGTCCATTTTAGGTCCGATTTAGGTCTGAACGTCCAGGACCTTTTCAAAACCTACTGAAAAGGTCCATTTCTAGACGTACTGGATACATACGATTCCGATATACTGGGAACGTCCAACTCTGGACGTTATCGACTTTTTGTGGACGGGATTGGATAAAGTGTATAATGATAATTGAAATCATTGCATATAATTTCTAACCCTCGATCTCTGATATCTATTCATGTAGGAACCTTGCAAACATGAACATAAAAAAATTCTCACAATTAATTTTTTATTGGCCGTACCAAATCAACAAACATATATTTAGGTAGGTATTATCTGCCGTGATCATCAAATTCTTTGGAAAAAATAAGTTTCTTTGGAACCAAGAAAAAAATTAAATCGTGGTTGAAATTTTGGAAATTTGAGTATATGATAAAATACTTTATGTTTTTCATAGTTATTCTTAGATTACATAAAAATGTTTTTAACATGTTAATTTTACTCAATGAGAAAATGAACTTTAGTTAGTCAGTGGAAGGGAAATAGAATTGCATGATCATGGACAAGTTTTCAACTTTTTTGATCTGATACTGGGTGGTTCAAAATTGAGATTTTTGACCGCCCTGTATCTATTTTAATTAAATACCAACCGATAGTGAATAAAAATTTGAGATAGGGATATGTAAATCATTTTGACCAATTATGAATAGTTTCGACACAAACAATTCCGGAACCTGGAAATCTCGATTTTGTACACCCTATATCTCAGTAATTATCACTGCTAGACCCCAAGTACGATGAGTCGTTGAAATCAGCTATTTCGGGAGAATCTCTAAATGATATAATAAATAGGGTGTTCCATTGAAAAAAGTATAACTTCAGTGGATTTTTTTTGGGACACCCTGTATGGTTCGAAATAATTTCGAATGGTCGCCTATGTTAACATGCAACGTCCTAAAGAGGAAGAATTTCAACAAAATGGGTGGTTAGCCTTCTGAAGACCGAGGCGTTACTGGTGGCCCACCCTGTTTAATAAAGTATGATTAATGTTTCCCTGGTTTTCAAACACAGGCGGTAGATCTAGGGCAATCCACAGAAATTTGTCATCATCGTTTTCTGATGACAAAATTTAAACAATTTCGTTTACTCTATTTTTTCGTATAGCCACGGAAGCAACCATAGCAATTATAAACATCTCACCTGCGAGCATCGTGCCCATCCAGCTGGATCTGCTGCTGCACCACGTTCCCGGCGACCAGCTGCGGCAGCTGCATGCCGTGCCCATCCACCGTCACCGCCACGCCCGGCTGCAGGACGAACGGCGCCGGCAGAGCGTTCACCAGCACGGTCTGCGCCGGCATCACCTGCGTCACCGCCGGAATTTTCGGCGGCGGCGGCGCCATCATCCCACCAGGCTGATTGCCGGTGCTAGCCATGATCAGTTGCCCGCCCGAGGACACGAAAATGTGTCCAGTGGGCGAGTGTTTGATGAGATGCGGCGACATCTGCGAGCTCGATTGCGGCACTTGGATGCTGCTGACCACGCTTTGCACCATTTCCAGCGGCGACTTGGACACGTTCACCGTTACGGCGGGGCTGTTCATCGAAGTGGGCGTAGAAGAACCGGCAGTGGAAGGGCTGTTTATGGAAACCGTAGCCGTGTTGGTGCGACCGGCCAACACCGAAGTGAGCGTGTCGCTGCCGTGCGTTCTTCCGCTCGCCATCGTGGTGACTAAGCCGGTGCGACCGGACATAGCGGCTTGAGCGTAGGAGCAACAAATATTCTCCATTTTGTTGTTGGCGTAGCCGAGGTGCTCCATTTGAGGGTTGTGTTGCGAGTAGGCGACGTGAAAGGGAGAAGGTTCGGGCGGTCTTTGAGGGGGCGTGGGCGTGTTGGGATTGGGTGTGGGCGGGCCGGGGGATACCCCGTCGTTGCTCGTGCTGACGGTGCCGCCCTGGATGGGACGGGAGTCCGGAGACGGTTGGTTGAATTGCTTGTCGGAGTAGGTGGAGGAGGTGACTGGGTCCTCGTTGCTGCTGGGTCTCGAGCCCGTCTTGGGATGTTGGTAGGGATCGGCGATACAGCACTGACAGGGTGCTGGGTACTGGGGTTGCTCGTTGGCGATACTGCTGTCTGCCATGTTGTTCGGTTGGATTTGT